GTTGGTGCTGTGTGTGTGTGGCTGGTGCTGTGTGTGTGTGTGGTTGGTGCTGTGTGTGTGTGGTTGGTGCTGTGTGTGTGTGGTTGGTGCTGTGTGTGTGTGGCTGGTGCTGTGTGTGTGTGTGGCTGGTGCTGTGTGTGTGTGGCTGGTTCTGTGTGTGTGTGGCTGGTGCTGTGTGTGTGTGGCTGGTGCTGTGTGTGTGTGGCTGGTGCTGTGTATGTGTGGCTGGTGCTGTGTGTGTGTGGTTGGTGCTGTGTGTGTGTGGTTGGTGCTGTGTGTGTGTGGTTGGTGCTGTGTGTGTGTGGCTGGTGCTGTGTGTGTGTGTGGCTGGTGCTGTGTGTGTGTGTGGCTGGTGCTGTGTGTGTGTTGCTGGTGCTGTGTGTGTGTGGTTGGTGCTGTGTGTGTGTGTGGTTGGTGCTGTGTGTGTGTGGCTGGTGCTGTGTGTGTGTGGTTGTTGCTGTGTGTGTGGTTGGTGCTGTGTGTGTGTGTGGTTGGTGCTGTGTGTGTGTGGTTGGTGCTGTGTGTGTGTGGTTGGTGCTGTGTGTGTGTGGCTGGTGCTGTGTGTGTGTGGCTGGTGCTGTGTGTGTGTGTGGCTGGTGCTGTGTGTGTGTTGCTGGTGCTGTGTGTGTGTGGTTGGTGCTGTGTGTGTGTGTGGTTGGTGCTGTGTGTGTGTGGCTGGTGCTGTGTGTGTGTGGTTGTTGCTGTGTGTGTGGTTGGTGCTGTGTGTGTGTGTGGTTGGTGCTGTGTGTGTGTGGCTGGTGCTGTGTGTGTGTGGTTGGTGTTGTGTGTGTGTGGCTGGTGCTGTGTGTGTGTGTGGCTGGTGTTGTGTGTGGCTGGTGCTGTGTGTGTGTGGCTGGTGCTGTGTGTGTGTGGCTGGTGTTGTGTGTGGTTGGTGCTGTATGTGTGTGTGTCTGGTGCTGTGTGTGTGTGTGTGGTTGGTGCTGTGTGTGTGTGGTTGGTGCTGTGTGTGTGTGTGGTTGGTGCTGTGTGTGTGTGGTTGGTGCTGTGTGTGTGTGTGTGGTTGGTGCTGTGTGTGTGTGTGGCTGGTGCTGTGTGTGTGTGGTTGGTGCTGTGTGTGTGTGGCTGGTGCTGTGTGTGTGTGGCTGGTGTTGTGTGTGGTTGGTGCTGTGTGTGTGTGTGGCTGGTGCTGTGTGTGTGTGGCTGGTGCTGTGTGTGTGTGGTTGGTGTTGTGTGTGGTTGGTGCTGTGTGTGTGTGTGGTTGGTGCTGTGTGTGTGTGGTTGGTGTTGTGTGTGGTTGGTGCTGTGTGTGTGTGTGGCTGGTGCTGTGTGTGTGTGGTTGGTGCTGTGTGTGTGTATGGTTGGTGCTGTGTGTGTGTGTGGCTGGTTCTGTGTGTGTGTGGCTGGTGCTGTGTGTGTGTGGCTGGTGCTGTGTGTGTGTGTGGTTGGTGCTGTGTGTGTGTGGTTGGTGCTGTGTGTGTGTGGTTGGTGCTGTGTGTGTGTGGCTGGTGCTGTGTGTGTGTGTGGCTGGTGCTGTGTGTGTGTGGCTGGTTCTGTGTGTGTGTGGCTGGTGCTGTGTGTGTGTGGCTGGTGCTGTGTGTGTGTGGCTGGTGCTGTGTATGTGTGGCTGGTGCTGTGTGTGTGTGGTTGGTGCTGTGTGTGTGTGGTTGGTGCTGTGTGTGTGTGGTTGGTGCTGTGTGTGTGTGGCTGGTGCTGTGTGTGTGTGTGGCTGGTGCTGTGTGTGTGTGTGGCTGGTGCTGTGTGTGTGTTGCTGGTGCTGTGTGTGTGTGGTTGGTGCTGTGTGTGTGTGGTTGGTGCTGTGTGTGTGTGGTTGGTGCTGTGTGTGTGTGGCTGGTGCTGTGTGTGTGTGGTTGGTGCTGTGTGTGTGTGGTTGGTGCTGTGTGTGTGTGGTTGGTGTTGTGTGTGTGTGGCTGGTGCTGTGTGTGTGTGTGGCTGGTGTTGTGTGTGGCTGGTGCTGTGTGTGTGTGGCTGGTGCTGTGTGTGTGTGGCTGGTGTGTGTGGTTGGTGCTGTGTGTGTGTGTGTCTGGTGCTGTGTGTGTGTGGTTGGTGCTGTGTGTGTGTGGTTGGTGCTGTGTGTGTGGTTGGTGCTGTGTGTGTGTGTGGCTGGTGCTGTGTGTGTGTGGCTGGTGCTGTGTGTGTGTGGTTGGTGCTGTGTGTGTGTGGCTGGTGCTGTGTGTGTGTGGCTGGTGCTGTGTGTGTGGTTGGTGCTGTGTGTGTGTGGTTGGTGCTGTGTGTGTGTGTGGCTGGTGCTGTGTGTGTGTGTGGTTGGTGCTGTGTGTGTATGGTTGGTGCTGTGTGTGTATGGTTGGTGCTGTGTGTGTGTGGTTGGTGCTGTGTGTGTGTGGTTGGTGCTGTGTGTGTGTGTGTGGTTGGTGCTGTGTGTGTATGGCTGGTGCTGTGTGTGTGTGGTTGGTGCTGTGTGTGTGTGTGGTTGGTGCTGTGTGTGTATGGCTGGTCCTGTGTGTGTGTGGCTGGTGCTGTGTGTGTGTGGTTGGTGCTGTGTGTGTGTGGTTGGTGCTGTGTGTGTGTGGTTGGTGCTGTGTGTGTGTGGCTGGTGCTGTGTGTGTGTGGCTGGTGCTGTGTGTGTGTGGTTGGTGCTGTGTGTGTGTGGCTGGTGCTGTGTGTGTGTGGTTGGTGTTGTGTGTGTGTGGTTGGTGCTGTGTGTGTGTGTGGTTGGTGCTGTGTGTGTGTGGTTGGTGCTGTGTTTGTGTGGTTGGTGCTGTGTGTGTGTGGCTGGTGTTGTGTGTGTGTGTATGGCTGGTGCTGTGTGTGTGTGTATAGCTGGTGCTGTGTGTGGTTCTCCGGGTTGTTTCCTTGGTGGCTTCGGTGTTCGGAGCCCCACAGGGGTGGTTGGGGAGTGAGCAGCCCCCCCTCCCTCCCGCACACCCCCCCGGCCCCAGGTTCCAGGCTTCATCCACCGCTGGGGGAGGAAACCACAGGTCTACAACACAACCATGTGAGCGCGTTCCCTCCACTCCCTCCTCCCGGGGCTCAGGGTCCAGTGCTCGGCCGCTGCCTCCATCCCCAGCCAGCCGCCTCTCGCGACCCCTGACACTTCCTCGGCGTCAGCGGACCGTTCACGGCCCGGGCGCCAGCCTTGCACGGAGGAGCTGAGTTCAAATCCCGGCCCGGTCACCGAGAACAAAACCCAAAGGCCAGACACAAATCACAGACACACACACACACAGGGCCCACGGAGAACCAGAGCCTGGGGCAGGCGGCTTTAATCACTGCGCGTCAAACAACAGGTTCAGCTATTCCACAACGGCTCCAGGCGCCGCCGCCATCCACCGTGGACAGAGAGGAAGACGCCAATACAAGGCTGCCCTTGCGGCCCCGGCGGGAGGGGCTTTAGACACACACGATTTTCACCCTGAGGCCAGGGGGTCCACAGTGGAAGCCAACGTCGCTACCCATGGGGATGGGTTGCGACGCAGTTCTTAGAACCAATTTTCTGGAAGGTTCTCGGCCCTCCCCCCTCACCCCCTCCCCCAACCAGGCTGGGTGATGACTGGAAGGAGACAGGACGCACCACTGAGTCCTGGCTTATGACAGACTGACCACAGGACCTTACTACGGGAAAACAAGGTGGGAAGGGGCTAACTCGAACTCAGGCCCTGTTCTTCACTATGCATCCAGCCAGGTGCTGGTGGCCCACGCCTGGACACCCAGCTACTCAGGAGGCTGAGATCTGAAGATCATGGTTCAAGGCCAGCCCAGGCAGGAAAGCCTGTGAGACTTGTAATCGCTAATTAAGCAGCAAAAAAAAAAAGCCAGAAAATGGCGCTGTGGCTCAAATGGTAGAGTGCTGACCTTGTGGTAAAAAGGAAACAACAGTTCAGGGACAGCGCCTGGCTCTGAGTTCAAGTCCCAGGGTTGATATCCCCCAAATAAAACAGCATCCACCTCAGCCGGGCGCCGTGGGACCGCCGCTTAACTTCACAGAAGCCTGGGAGGTGTACTCAGCCAGGCCATGGAACTGCCTGCACAAGGCTGGGGGGAGGAGGGGTGGGGGGTGGGGGAGTGGGGAGAGGGGAGGGGAGAAAGGAGGGGAGGGGTGCAGGAGGAGGGAGGGGAGGGGAGAAGAGGGGAGGGGTGCAGCTGAGGGGAGCTGGGCCAAGCTGTCCCACACACAAATAGTAAGAAAACAAAATCAGAATTCCTACTATTCCTTGTGTATGTGTTGTGGACTTGAACTTGGGACCTGGGCACTGTCCCTGAGCTCTTTCCCTCAAGGCTGGCGCTCTACCGCCTGAGCCACAGCGCCACTTCCAGTTTTCTAGTGGTTTTTTGGAGATAAGAGTCTCACAGACTTTCCTGCCTGGGCTGGCCTTGAACCGTGATCCTCAGATCTCAGCCTGCTGAGCAGCTGGGATGACAGGTGTGAGCTCCGGCGCCCGGCTCGTTCTGTTTCTCTGAACAGTCCAGCGGCCTGGCGTGCCGCTGCCCAGAACTTCTGAAGACAACACTGCGTGGACACATACTGGAGGGAGCGTGGGCAGGAGCGTGGGCAGCCACGAGGAGGAGGGAGCCGGGGGGGGCGTTCTGGGGAGAGTCGTGGAAAAGCCAACGTGGACGGACACACCGCAGTCATCCGGGCAATTCCCAAGGCTGGGACGGTGTCCTGAAAAGCCGTCCAGGTCAGTGCACGCGTGGCCCGGTCCACGCACACGCTCTTCTCTCCCTCACAATGGGCGGGCAGGAGAGACAGACCGGGGAAGCAAACTTCCCCTCCGCACCACTCAACACGGGATCCGCTCACCCACGGGGAGGCTGCTGACCGCCCCTCGGGAGCCTGAGGCCAGCCGGGTGCCGGCGCTCACGCCTGTCATCCCCGCTTACTCAGGAGGCGGAGGTTGGAGGATCCTGGTTCAAAGCCAGCCTGGGGAAGAAAACCCTCTTCTCTCCCATGAGCCGGCAAAAAGCCAGAAATGGAGCTGTGGCTCAAGTGGTAGAGCGCTAGCCTTGAGCAAAAACAAAACACACACACACACAGAAAAAACAAGAACAAAAACTCAGGGCCAGCACCAGGGCCCTGAGTTTGAGGCCCAGTGCCAGCACGAGAATAAATAGCAAAAATAAATAAGACTCAACAAAACCAGCTTCCGGGGTTCTCTGGCCCCCCGCGTGAACACGGCCACGGGGTTCCTGTTCTTACACACACCAGCCACTGGAGCCGTGGACCACCAAACACCACCGAACCCTAAACAACCACAGCATCACCAGCCTCGTGGTCAGTACGAGTTTTATATGGCGGCCGCCACGGTGGGACCTGCGGCCGCGCGTGCGCGCGGAGCTCAGAGGAAGTCTATGAGGTACTCGGGGTAGATCTGGTTGGCGTCGAAGACCACGAAGATGCGGGGACTCCATGTGTCGTCCACGCAGCTGTCATACAGGTTCACGTAGCTGCCGTCCTTGGACGGGGGGCGCATGTACTTGGGGTCCCCGCTGATGTAGTCGCCGATGAGCACGCGGGCCAGGAACATGGACCTGCAGGCGCGGGGCGCGGGGCGCGGGCGCGGGCCCACGCCGTGGATCTGCAGCGTGTCGCCGTGGCGCAGGTCGTCCTTGCAGAAGCGGCTCGAGTAGGACGCGTCTCTCGCAAAATAGGTTCCTGCAGCCGGAGGGGGCCGGGGAGGCCACGCGTGAGGCCCCGCCCTGCAGGGGGGCGGTCACGGGATGGGGGCCCCAAGTCCCCAGTGCCTGTGCCTACACCAGTGCCTGCTGTGTCCAATCCAGTGCCTGTGTCTAACCCAGTGTCTGTGTCTAACCCAGTGCCTGTGTCTAATCCAGTGTCTGTGTCTAATCCAGTGTCTGTGTCTAATCCAGTGCCTGTGTCTAATCCAGTGCCTGTGTCTAATCCAGTGCCTGTGTCTAATGCAGTGCCTGTGTCTAATCCAGTGTCTGTGTCTAATCCAGTCTGTGTCTAATGCAGTGCCTGTGTCTAATCCAGTGTCTGTGTCTAGTCCAGTGCCTGTGTCTAATCCAGTGTCTGTGTCTAATCCAGTCTGTGTCTAATGCAGTGCCTGTGTCTAATCCAGTGTCTGTGTCTAATCCAGTGCCTGTGTCTAATCCAGTGCCTGTGTCTAATGCAGTGCCTGTGTCTAATCCAGTGCCTGTGTCTAATCCAGTGCCTGTGTCTAATCCAGTGTCTGTGTCTAATCCAGTGTCTGTGTCTAATGCAGTGCCTGTGTCTAATCCAGTGCCTGTGTCTAATCCAGTGTCTGTGTCTAATCCAGTGCCTGTGTCTAATCCAGTGTCTGTGTGTAATCCAGTGTCTGTGTGTAATCCAGTGTCTGTGTCTAATCCAGTGTCTGTGTGTAAACCAGTGTCTGTGTCTAATCCAGTCTGTGTCTAATCCAGTGTCTGTGTCTAATCCAGTGCCTGTGTCTAATCCAGTGTCTGTGTCTAATCCAGTGCCTGTGTCTAATCCAGTGCCTGTGTCTAACCCAGTGCCTGTGTCTAATCCAGTGTCTGTGTCTAATGCAGTGCCTGTGTCTAATCCAGTGCCTGTGTCTAATCCAGTGTCTGTGTCTAATCCAGTGTCTGTGTCAAATCCAGTGCCTGTGTCTAATCCAGTGCCTGTGTCTAATCCAGTCTGTGTCTAATGCAGTGCCTGTGTCTAATCCAGTGTCTGTGTCTAGTCCAGTGCCTGTGTCTAACCCAGTGTCTGTGTCTAGTCCAGTGTCTGTGTCTAATCCAGTGCCTGTGTCTAACCCAGTGCCTGTGTCTAATGCAGTGCCTGTGTCTAATCCAGTGCCTGTGTCTAATCCAGTGTCTGTGTCTAATCCAGTGTCTGTGTCAAATCCAGTGCCTGTGTCTAATCCTGTCTGTGTCTAATGCAGTGCCTGTGTCTAATGCAGTGCCTGTGTCTAATGCAGTGCCTGTGTCTAATCCTGTCTGTGTCTAATCCAGTGCCTGTGTCTAATCCAGTGCCTGTGTCTAATCCAGTGCCTGTGTCTAATCCAGTGTCTGTGTCTAATCCAGTGCCTGTGTCTAATCCAGTGTCTGTGTGTAATCCAGTGTCTGTGTGTAATTCAGTGTGTGTCTAATCCAGTGCCTGTATGTAATCCAGTGTCTGTGTCTAATCCAGTGCCTGTGTCTAATCCAGTGCCTGTGTCTAATCCAGTGTCTGTGTGTAATCCAGTGTCTGTGTGTAATCCAGTGTCTGTGTCTAATCCAGTATCTGTGTCTAATCCAGTCTGTGTCTAATCCAGTGCCTGTGTCTAATCCAGTGCCTGTGTCTAATCCAGTGGCAGTGCCTATACCTATGCCTGTGCTGGTGCCTGTGCTGGGGCCGGTGCCCATGCCAAGGCCTGTGGTGGCAAGGTGAGTGGCTCTTGGTCCCGTGTGTGGACCAAGTACCTGGTGCTGAGGGGCACCTGGGTGCCCCCTCCCCCAGCCCTCCCTGTGGTGGAGGCCGCCCGGGACCCCGCCCTGGCCAGCCGGCCGTACGTGCACACGCGCACCTTTTCCCAAGAGAGCGCCGTGCATGCCGTTTATCCGCCAGTCGAAGTTGTGGATGCAAATCGCCTCCACGAACTCGCTGCTGGTGCCATGGAAGAGCATCTGCTCATTGATCTGCGGGATGCCTCTCTTCTTCTTCAGCTGGGACTTCTTCCTGGAGGCACACGGTGGCATGCACGCATTTTATTTTAAGACAGCAAACGTTCGACAGGAAGGCTAAAAGGAACAACGCCGACACCGAGGGCTGCTCTCATCTAAATCGCGGGCGGACAAAGCAAATCGGAGAGAGGCACGGTTTCGAATGTTCCTGGACAGGTAAACCGTCTTACGATGGTGATTCAATTCCAGAACCGCCAAGCATTCCAGGCACCCACAGCGGAGACCACAGGGCCGACCCTGCGCTCCCGGAGGGAAGGCCTCACACCCACGAGGCTCGAGCCCTCTCTGACTCTGTGTCCCTCCATCCTGGACCTGGAGAACCCAGCATCACCCCCCGCCCCCCAAACCTCCCCTGGCACACAGAAAAGAACACGCCGCGGGGCCGATCCTAACAGGGAGACTGAGGAAAGCTGGAAGGGTTCCATGGAAAAAATACACAGGCACACAGTGGCACGTGGGAGTTCAGGGTACGTTTACAAAGAACGCTAAAGGTGAAAAAGAAGCGGATGGAGCACGGCGTGATGCCTCGCTGTCCAGGCCTGGGTGAGCAGCAGAGGAACACGCAGGCCGTCCAGGGAGACAGGCCGGGGGCCAGGGACACAGGCCAGGGGCCAGGGACACAGGCTGGGGGCTGGGGACCAGGGACACAGGCCAGGGGCCAGGGACACAGGCCGGGGGCCAGGGACACAGGCCAGGGACTGGGGACAGAGGCCTGGGGCACAGGCGTGGTGCGGTGTGCACAGCTGGGTGTGGAGATGGAGCGAGATCTGGAGATGGAAACTCTGAGGAACATTCACACAGACCCCTGTGCACAGGGGTGCAGTCTGTCCGGTGTGCAGGGGTTGTCTGGGGTACACACAAGGTTGTCTGGTGTGCACACAGTGGTTGTCTGTCTGGTGTACACACAGTGGTTGTCTGTCTGGTGTGCACACAGGGTGCAATCTGTCTGGTGTGCACACAGTGGTTGTCAGGTGTGCACACAGTGATTGTCAGTCTGGTGTGCACACAGAGTGCAGTCTGGCGTGCACGTGGAGTTCTGTTGGTCTGGCGTGCAGGCAGGGTTCTGTCTGGTGTGCATGCGGGGTAGTCTGTCTGGTGTGTACATGGGTGTCTGTCAGTCTGGTGTGCATGCAGGGTGCAGTCTGGTGAGCACATGGGGTGAAGTCTGGTGAACACACAGGTGCAGTCTCTCTGGTGCAGGGGAGGTGTGGTCTGTCGGGTGTGCACACAGGTGTGGTCTGTCAGGTGTGCACACAGGTGTGGCCTGTCGGGTGTGCACACAGGTGTGGTCTGTCGGGTGTGCACACAGGTGTGGTCTGTCAGGTGTGCACACGGGTGTGGTCAGGTGTGCACACGGGTGTGGTCTGTCAGGTGTGCACACGGGTGTGGTCTGTTGGGTGTGCAGGGGGTGTGCGGTCTGTCGGGTGTGCCTGCGGGGTGTGGTCTGTCGGGTGTGCCCGCGGGGTGTGGTCTGTTGGGTGTGCCCGCGGGGTGTTGTCTGTCAGGTGTGCACATGGGTGTGGTCTGTCAGGTGTGCACACGGGGTGTGGTCTGCCGGGTGTGCAGGGGGTGTGGTCTGTCGGGTGTGCCTGCGGGGTGTGGTCTGTCGGGTGTGCCCGCGGGGTGTGGTCTGCCGGGTGTGCCCACGGAGTGTGGTCCGGCTGGTGAGCACGCGTGGCTGGGCCTGCCAGAGCCTGGCCTGTGGCCGCGCTCAGCCCGGGGAGCAGCACTGCTGTGCGTACTGCCTGGCGCCCGCCCGCACACCGCTCTCCTCTCTCTGAGGAAGTGGCAGCACTGGCCGCGCGCGGGTGCCACCTCGCGAGGACTCGGGGTGTGGGGGCGGGCGCGTGGGAGAGGGCGCCCACCACGGACCGCCGCGCCACGCACTCACCTGCAGAAGAACTCCCACAAGTCTAGGTTCTGAATTCTCTGTATTCTTCGGATCCGGTTTCGGTCCATGGTCTTCCCGAAGAGCGCGGCCACCTCGTTGTACTCGTGCGTCTGCGTGTGCAGAGGGATGAGCTGCGAGAGGCGGGCGTGCCGGGCCAGTCCTCCGCCGCGCCCCCCCGCCGGCCCGGCCTGCTCCTACCTGGTAGGGGACGTCCGTGTGCACACACTCCCAGTGAGAGGGGACGGGGATGGCCTCGTTCTCACAGACGTAGCTGCAGAGGGCGGCACCCGAGGCAGCAGAAAAGAAAATCAGAGCCACCGCCGGGGGCTGGCCCCAGCCACTCGGGAGGCTGAGATCTGAGGGCCGCGGTTCAAAGCCAGCCTGGGCAGGAAAGGCCGTGAGACGCTTACCTCCAACGAGCCACCAGAAAACCGGGAGTGGCGCTGTGGCTCGCGTGGTAGAGCGCCAGCCTTGAGCTGAGGAGCTCAGAGGCAGCGCCCAGGCCCTGAGCTCAAGACCCAGGACGGGCGCGCGTGTGCACATGCACGTGCACACGTGTGAACACACAGAGGAGCGACAAGCATGCTGCTTCTTCACTTGACCACCTTGTATGAGATCTTTCTCATGCCTGGGCCCGCATTGGGGCCTGGTGTGTCACCCAGCACCCCGCGGGAACACGGCCAGCACCCCGTGATCGGAGCCAGAAACCCTGCCAGGATCCTCAACTGAGCTGAGCTGCCTTTGACTAGGAATCCTGAGCTGCTTTGTGCTCAAGGCGGGCGCTCTACCACTTGAGCCACAGCACCACTTCCGGCTTTTTCTGTGTATATGGCGCTGAGGGATCGAACCCAGGGCCACACGCACACTGGGCGCCGCGCTCCACCACTGAGCCACCTGCCCAGCCCCGTCCACGGCATCTCTTGCGAGGACCGGGACCAGCCGTGCACGGGGAGTGCGGCTGCTTCTGCCCGGCGTGTGCTGGGCACCGCGCCCCCCGGGCCCGGCCCAGCGACTCACCTGAACGCGCTGATGGAGAAGGGGGCCCTTTTGACCAGGCGCTGCTTGCCCGTGCTGAGATTCATCTGCTTCATCTCTGTTCACAGAGCAGAGGGGTCAGAGCCGTGGAGGGCCGTGCACCTGCGCGCTGCGGGCTGCCCTGGGGGCGAGCGTGCGGGCCCGGACCGGGCTGCGTGGGGCCAGTGGCACCTGGGACCGGGGTCCTCGGGGCTCAGTCACCCACACTCCCCCGCCCTCCCCGACACGCCCTGCTCTGCCTGCAGAGACCCTCCTTCCCTGCGCCACACGCCACACCAAGGCTGGGCTCACCAGGAGACAGGAGCCCCGCGCTTAGGAGAGCTACGAGTGTGGGGAAGAGGGAGGCGGGCCTGCCCTGAAGCTTCTGTACGCTTTTGAGTGGAGAAAAGTGTGGGCGGAGCCAGACACGAGTGGCTCCCGCCAGTCATCCCAGCGACTCAGGAGGCTGAGATCTGAGGATCGCGATTCAAAGCCAGCCTGGGCAGGAAAGTCCCTGAGACTCTGATCTCCCATGAACCACCAGAAAACCGGAAGTGGCGCTGTGGCTCAAGTGGTAGAGGTACCCTAAATACCCCCCCGCCAGGGCCCGGACGGTGTCTGGTGGCACTGACTTCCAGCTGAGCTGGCTAAGCTGCGGGGGAGTCGGGGGAGCCGGGGTACACAGGACGACTGGTGCTGTGCACACGCACCCAGAGCGGGCGGCCTGCTGGAGCCCCTCGCTTCCCATGCATGATCCTTGGAATCATCTAGAATGATTTCCAGGCCAACCGTAGGGAGCACTCAAACAAGCGCTCCAAGTCAGTCACGGCGGTCCAAGATTCAAATCCTGCATCCTCTGGAGGCCAGGGCTGGGGCTGGTGAGGTCGAGGCCGGCCAGGACAGCATGGCGACACAGAAGTTATAAAGAGTGTGCGCTTCATCTAAGGAGAGACTCACATGACCTCCACGCAAGCGTCAGTCTCCGAATACGTTACTGCGCCCGAGCGCATGCGCACGCTCTTATAAGAGGCCAGCATGGCTAAGAGTTCAAATCCTGAACTTCTTAGCAGGTCCCATGTTGTAGTGGCTAGCGCTCTGGACTGATGCCAGCGATCCAAGTTCAAACCTCGGTGAGACTCCATTAAAGCTTTAAGCAAAAGACATAGTTTTTCTTGTTCTTAAAGGAAAAAATTTCCATTTGTATAGAGCTGGTGTTTTGTTTTGTGTTTTGGTGCCGGTCCTGGGACTTGAACTCAGGGCCTGAGCACTGTCTCTGAACATCTTTTTTTCCCCTCAAGGCTGGTGCTCTACCATTTGAGCCACAGCACCATTTCCGGTTTTCTGGAGGTTCGCTGGAGATAAAAGAGTCTCATGGCCTTTCCTGCCGGGGCTCCGCAGATCTCGGCCTCGCGAGTGGCTGCGGTGACAGGCGTGGGCTGTCTTGCAGTGTAAGCTAAGGCCTGACTCCGCACCCACACACCGACCGCCAGCCCAGGGCTCCGGGGGGGACGCACCTGCAAAATCGATCTTGTAGCTGAACTTGGAGGTAGTAAAAGAAATGGAGCCACAAGGGTTCGTTCGGAAGCTTTTCTCGATGTCTTCACTGCTAACGGAACATTGAATGCTGGCGTCCGGCTTTAAAACAAACCAGAAAGTTCCCCTTACCAGGGCTTCACTGAAGTTGTGCTATGATCAAAAGGAAGGAAGGAGGGAGGGAGGGAAGAAACGAGGGAGGGAGGGAGGGAGGGCGGGCTCGCGGTGCACAGTGATAAATGTTTCTTCTAAATGGAAGATGCAGGGAAAGTGGGCAGGGAAAGCACTGGAAGGTTCTGGAAGGTTCTGTGTCAGTACAGGCTTCTTTGGGGCACCTTGTGGGGGGCAGCGGGAGGGAGGGAGGGAGAGAGGGAGGCTTGCTAACATCTTCCTGTCTGTCCTTCCTGTCGTATTAGAAATGATACAGATTTCTAGTGAAGGCTGCTCACAGTATCACCCAACAATTGGTTATGATCGCTTCTCAGAAATTACTAGGTTTTTACAATCATCCCCAACTTTTCATACTTTCTGAGTAGTTCCAATTAAATCCTTTTCTTTTCTTTTTTTTTTTGTTGGTTGTGGGGCCTGAACTCAGGGCCTGGGCGCTGTCCTCGAGCTGTTTTGCTCAAGACTGGTGCTCTGCCACTTGAGCCACAGCCTTACTTCTGACTTTTGCTGGTTTACGGGAGATCAGAGTCTCACGGACTTTCCTGCCTGGGCTGGCTTTGAACCTTGATCCTCAGATCTCAGCCTCCTGAGTAGCTGGGATGACAGGCGCTGGCTTCAGATTCAATCTTAAACAGCTTGTTTTAAAGAAGAAAGTAAAACCACAAGCACACAGCCTTTGTGGGTCTGGGTTCGAATCGCTGCTCCCCGCTCGATTTCGTGTCAGGTGCTCAGCCGTGGGACCCGAGTGAGCGTGAGCTCCGAGATGCCACGAGTGTGAGAGAAAGCACAGGCGTGCCCGACCGCACACGGGGGCACGGGAGGCGCGTGGCCGGGGCTGGGTGTGGCTGCTTCCCCCCCCCCCCCCCGTGGCCCGTGCCACGTGGGCCCCACCCCCACCCCGAGTCTCCACGATGCCGGCTCCCGGCGCACAGCCCAAAAAATGTTGTTTCTTCTCAATGGAGTACCGTGGAGAGGCGGGGAAATGGGCAGGAAAAGCACTGGAAGGTTCTGGAAGGTTCTGAGTCAGTGTGGGCTTGGGGGGGGCACCCGAGGGTGGCGGGGTGGTGCGGGCGAGGTGGGGGGCGGGAGGTACCTGGATCATGTGCCACTTCCCGCACTCGGCCAGGTAGAACCAGCCCCACTGCGTGTCCGATGTGTCCATGGCGTCCCCCTCCCTGTCCGCCACTCGCGGCAGGAACTCTTCTGCCTTGTGGAACATCTCCTGGGGGCCGCGGAGAGAGGAGGGGAGACGGCTCTGAGTGCTGCGGGCGTCCTCATTCGTGGAGAGCCGTTTCTCCCCCGGGGCCCGCCCCGCGTGGCTCTTCTGCACACCCGTGTTCTAAACTCGAGGGGTGGGGGGCATCTCTCTGAACACGTGGGGCAGAGGACAGTCAGCTGGGGGGGGGCACCAGCACCGGCCACGCCAGGGCCCGCCACGCCAGGGCCCGCCACACCCTCGGTGGCCACGCCAGGGCCTCCGTGAGATCTCCATTCCCAGCACTTAGCGGCCTCCTCCAGAGCGAGCCAGAGCTGCTGGTCTGTGCTTCATTCCTGCCAGATTTCTCTGTCTCTGTCCGTCTCTCTGTCTGTCTGTCTCTGTCTCTGTCTCATGCACCCACCCACAGACATCAATATTGGTGATGCGTTAACTATTTGATTTCGGTGTCTTAGATTTTTTTTTTAAACCAAGAACGTGTTCTAGCAAATAAACCGGGACACTTCTGGTGTGAGTGTCATTATATGAAGAAGAGTCAGGCCATCCTGCTGGGATAAAAGCTCCCGTTCCTTTAACTGGGCCTCAGTTCCCCACTTCCAAAGCCCAGGGCGAAAGGCTCCTTCCTCGTCAGGACAGATGAGATAACGTGGTCAAGTCCAGTACGGAGCCAGTGAGTGGAGTTCCAAGCACAGCACCCGAACCAGAATAACCAAGTAGAAACACCCAAACCAGAATAACCAAGTAGAAACACCCAAACCAGCACCCGAACCAGAATAACCAAGTAGAAGCACCCGAACCAGCACCCGAACCAGAATAACCAAGTAGAAACACCCGAACCAGCACCCGAACCAGAATAACCAAGTAGAAACACCCGAACCAGCACCCGAACCAGAATAACCAAGTAGAAACACCCGAACCAGCACCCAAACCAGAATAACCAAGTAGAAGCACCCGAACCAGCACCCGAACCAGAATAACCAAGTAGAAACACCCGAACCAGCACCCGAACCAGAATAACCAAGTAGAAACACCTGAACCAGAATAACCAAGTAGAAACACTGGTCTCCCCTTAGACGGCCACATCCTGGAAAACACCAGAACTGCCCTGGCTGCCACCCTCGCCAATCATCTCCCCGGCTCCCTCCCCAGACACACCTGCAGCCCTGTGACCCAGGGTCGGGCCTGTGACCAGCGCCCGTGGCCAGACTGCACCCCGTGTCCACACATCTACCCTGTGGCTCGAGGGACGCTGCTCTCCAGCCCCACCTGCTCCCCGGCTCCCATCCTGCCGCCGAAGGCAGCCCAGGCCGCCCCAACTCCACTTCCTGTGGGATTGAGAAGGGGCCAGGCTGCAGGGAGGCACGCTGCCTTCTCTTGGCTGGGCTGGGGGAGACCTGGTTCCCCTCCCCGGCAAAGCCTGCTGCCCTGCTGAGGGCGCCTTGCTGCTCTCTTCCTGGGTTCAAACTGTTCAGGTATTTGCTTACAGAGCCTACGTCAGGGAGCGAACAACTAAACACAGTACCCAAGCCAAGCCAGTGAGTACCAAGTACAGTACTCGAGTCTGAGTAGTGAAGTAACACGCACACTACCCTGTCAGGGAGTGATTAATAAGCACAGTAACCAAGATAAGCCAGTGAGTATAGTACCAAGTACAGTACCTGAGTCTGGGTAGTAAAGTACCAAACACAGTACTTTGTCAGGGAGTGAAGCACTAAGCACAATAGCCAAGCCAAACCAGCAAGTATCAAGTACACTACCTGAATCTGAGTAGTAAAGTACCAAGCACACTACCCTGTCAGTGAGTGAAGTGCCAATCACAGTAGCCAGTGAATAAAGTACTAGCACAGTACTGGGCAGAGTACCCCATCAGTGAGCAGAGTTCTGGGCAGAGTACTCCATCAGTGAGCAGAGTACCCGGTCTGTGAGTGGGTACAGTACGTGAGTCCATGAAGAGGGCTCATAATTTTGACTTTCTAATGTCTGCAAACTCCAGGGAAGGCTTTGTGCGTTTTCCTGTTTTTCCTTGGTGCCTGGCAGTCGCTGGGCTGCTGGGAGACGGGGAGCAGGCGCCCCAGGGCCGGGAGCCTCAGCTTTGAGCGAGTGGTTCTACCGCACACGTTCTAGGCTGGTGAGAGACCCACCACCAGCCACCAGCGCTGCGGCTCCCCAACACACACCCACAACCGCAAGAGGGCGTGGCCTAGGGGAAGGGGACCTGGGTTGAGTCCTTCTGAAGATGCCCAGGGGAAAGCTGGGAGGACCAGTGTGGAGCCATCAGTGAAGAGAGAGGCGCCCACGTGGACATGCAGCTCCCCAGACCCAGCTCACCTGGGCTGGGAAAAAACCAAGTTCACACCACGCGTGCACCGGGCTCTGGGTGCACCTGCCTGCAGCACCTCCAACCCAGAGAGAGTGCTCTCTACCACGCCCAGAGCCCTCACAAGAGGGTGGACAGAAACAGACAGAGATCCATAATAGGTAGATGGATGGGTGGATGTATACAGAGATAGAGAGATGATAGATGTAAACAATAGATTAGACAGAAGCAGATAATAGATGATAAAGATGACTGACCTTAGATACAGACAATGGATTGGATAGACTTAGCTAGATGTTAGATAATAGAAGACAGATGACTTATGGATAGAGGTAGATAAGAGACAGATAAGACATAGATAATGGATTAGATAAGCAGAGATGATAGAGGACTGATGGATAGACGTTAGACAATAGATAATACATATAGACGACAGAGATACACAGATCTATAAAGACCGGCGATCAGCTAGGTGCAGATGCTAGACGATGGTTCCCTGCACAGACGTGTGAGAATTTGTGCTGGGCACTGCCAGCCACCATTCACCTGAGCCGGGGACTCAGGATTCTTCTGCGATTCAGATGCACAGATGCACAGCCGAAGGGACCGCACTATTACTGAAGCTCCAGATCTCCAAGGGAATGCAGACTTTCACTGAAAATCACACTCCTAGACTGTCTGCACAAACCCGTCCAGCACAGTCCAAGGCCTCTGGTGGGAAGATTCACTGATTCACTCAGTGCTCCCTCCAGGTGGGTAGGGTCGACCAACCCTGTCTGCAGGCTGGCACTGGGCTGAGCACATTTCCTTCTGCCCCTGGTTGCTGTGAATTATAATCAGGAATGGATATTGGATTTTGCTAAATGGTTTTTCTGTATGTTCCATTTTACTTCACTTATCAGGCAAGGTATGCTCATGGCTGTCCAAATATTGAACTATCCTTGCATTCCTGGAATAAATCACTGTCCAGTATTTCATGCGGGAGACAGGCCTGGGGTTTCCTTTGATTGGTTTTGGTATGGGGTAATGACAGCCTTACAGCATCAACTGCAAAATGCAAGCTCTCCTCTCTCATTTCTGGAACTTGGTACAGAGTTACTAATTGCTTTACATATTTGGTAGAATCCATCTGTGAACCTGTCTGGGCCTGGGGCTTTGAGAGTAGGTTCTTCCTACAAAGTTAAATTCTTTAACCAAAAAGAGGCCATTCCCTTCCTGCCTCCTTCCCGAGTCTGTTTCCTCAGAGTTGCCACACGGACACAGCAGGAAGGAAGGGCATCTTCATTATCCTAACGCTGTCTTCAGACTGTTTCCTTCAGAGCTGGTAACACCAAGGGTAGAGTTGGAATTTTACTTATGTAGTTACTTACGGGTCAGGTCTGCCTGCCTGCACAGGCCCATTGGCTTGTAGTAGGTGTTCAAGAAACAACAAGTGCTAGCAAACGTGAGTTTCAGTACTAGGCTGGCCCCAGAAGATGGCAGGTGGGTTGGGCTGGCCGGTCATCCACACCATTCCTCTGGACCTGAATTGCAAACACGAGCCTCCTGCCTCTACCTTAAGTTATTTTCCTCCTAGATAACAAGGACATGTGCTGTATCTGTCCCATGCGTCCTGAGGAGCCACCGATTCCCCGCTCCTGCCCATGACCGCACCACCAGGACAGGGCTGAAGCATGGGCCCTGATACCATACCCTCGCCAGGGCGTCTCATCTAACTATCAATCCTTAAATTCCAATTCCAAGGTGGGTGCTTGTAGCTCAGGCCTGTAATCCTAGCTACTCTGAGATCTGAGGAAAATATGGTTCAAAGCCAGCCTGGGCAGGAAAGTCTATGAGACTTTTATCTCCAAGTAACCAGTTAAAAGCCAGAGGTAAAGCTGTGGTGTAGTAGAGTGCTAGCCTGGAGTGAAAAACCTCAGGAACAGTGTCCAGGCCCTAAGTTCCAACCTCAGTATTGGTGCACACACACACACATACACATTCCCTGTGATTTTTTTTTTCTTCCTTGAGTCCTTTTCTATTTGCTGCATGCTGTCTATTCTGGGAAGAGTATGTGTTCTAGGGCTGGGAATGTGGCTCAGTGGTAGAGTGCTTGCCTAGCATGCATGAAGCCCTGGGTTTGATTCCTCAGTACCACATACACAGAAAAGGCCAGAAGTCGCACTGTGGCTCAAATGGTAGAGTGCCAGCCTTGAGCAAAAGAAGCTTAGGGACAGCACCCAGGCCCTGAGTTCAGGCCTGGGGGAAAAAAAAAAAAGGAGTATGTGTTCTAGAACCAGAAAGCTTTAGATTTAAAACCAGTTTCTCTTCTTCAGAAAGCTCACCAAACTTGGAGCCTTACCACGGTCAACAGAACAAGAAGGTAATGCGCTAACCATCTACATAATCACAGGATTAGCAATCCGAGGGTCCTCTTTGTGCTAGTCTCTATCAGCCCCTCTCCTAGGCTTCCCTGGGCTGCCATGAGCATCTGGTTTTCCTGGTCAAGCAGCGGGGAGGAGAGGGAGAACAGAGTGCCCCGGGGAATGGGCTTTGGCACCTCTGGAAACGGGCCTTGTGCGCCCGACAAATCCGGTGTGGTGAGCTCAGCACATGAAGTGGCTTCAGAGCGTTGAGTACAGACACTTGATGTTCGTCCCCCACGTTTTCCTTCCGCATTCTCATCAGCACCCGTTCGTCGGGGTGACACAAGGAGGATTCCCGTGGACCGTCGCAGGATTCTCGATTTGGTCCCCTTCAACGGTCGGTGGCGCTTTCCACGGGCCGGGGCGATCCCCAGCTTCCTGGGACCAGCCTTGGGGTGTGGACCCCCCCCCACACACACACACACACTCTGGGAGAGGGGGGGGTGGGGAAGGGAGGCTGGACTTCGGTTGTTAAGGCGAGAACACAGAGCAGCCGCGTCTGTGAGGGGTGGGATGGGGCGTCTTTATTAGCGGTCCGCAGCCCCCGAGCTTTTAAAGGCCGGAAGCCCCGGGCTGGGGGGGGGGGGGGGGTGGAGGCCGCGCCCTGGGCGCCTGGAGCCACGCGTCACCCACAAACGAGGCGGGCTGGACGGGGGCGACGCGGGTCACCCGCAGGCGGAGCCCGCTCTCCAGGGGGACGACCATGGATCGGCACCCCAACTGTCTACGGGGAGGGGGGGGCCCCCACATCCGCGGGCCGCGGGACTTCGTCATCTTCATGAAGAGGCCAAGATGGCGTCGCTGGGCCCCGGTGCACGGAGGAGCCGAGGCGCGCGCGCGCGGGCTGCAGCTGCGTGTGTGTGGGGAGGGGGGAGGCGTCGTCCCTGGAGGAAGCGTCTGGCAGCCGAGAGCCTGCGTGTGCGTGCGTGTGCGTGCGTGCGTGCGTGCTCCGATCGCTGCCTGCGGGCCCGGGAGGGGTCGGGGGTCGGGGGGGGGCAAAGGGCGCCGAGGATCCCCCGCCCCGCCTCGCGGGACCCCGGGATCGAACCCGCCGGGCGGAAGGGGGGGGCGGCCTCCAGCCGTCCGCAGCCGCGGGCGCAGGGCTCCTCGGCGGAGGAGCGGGCGCCGAGGGCCGGCCGCGCAGCCAGAGCCGCCCCGAGGCCCGGCGCGGCGCGGCGGCCGCCGCCCGGAACCCCCGCGCGGCCGGAACCCCAGACGCGCGGCCCGCCGCGCCCGGGCCGAGGCGGTTTCCCCCACGGACCGGACCTGCCGCACGCCCGGAACCCAACACGCGCGGCCCCGCGGCGCCCGGGCGGAAGCAGTTCCCGGGCACGCCCTCCCGGCCCGTTTCCTCCCGCCCCGCCCACCGGGCCCGCCCCGTCCGGCCGGGCTCCTCACCGGATTCGCTTCCCACATAACGGGGGCCGAACCGCGCGGAGGACGTCTGGGGGAAGAGGCGAGCCGCGAGCCCGGCACGGCGTCCGTCCGTCCGTCTGTCTCCTGAGAGTCCCGGGCGCGGAGGGGCGGGAAGGCAGCCCTGTCACCCCCGCCCGGCCAGAAGCGAGCGTCTCCGGACCGCCCAGCCTCCCGACTTCCGCCCGAGCCCAGCCAATCAGCGGCGGCCACGCCCACTGGCGGAACCAGGACGGTCCCGCCCCCCCTGGTCATTTGGGTTCGGACGTCCTCGCGCAGGCGCAGAGGGGCGTGGGCGGGGCCGGCGAAGGCGGGGCCGGCGAGGGCGGGGCTGGCCAGGGCCCGGATGTGCGGGCCTTTAAACGCCCCCTCCCGCACCCCTCCCCGTAGAATCCACGCCCATCCTCCGCCCGCGACCCCGCGTGGGTCCCGGCTCCTGACTCAGTGTCCCCCTCTGCACCCGGAGGAGCGATCGGCGATCCGATTGTTCCTGAATTAACCCCGGTGGCCGCTCCTGAGGCCCAGAATCTGGGCTTCGCGGGTTCAAATCCAGCTTCGGGACACAGGAAGGCCCACGCGACTCCCAATCTCCAATCAGCCACCCAGAAACAGAAGGTCAGGGGGCGCCGTGGCTCAGGCGGTGGAGCGCCAGCCTTGAGCACTGAAGCTCAGGGACAGCATCTGGGCCCCGAGTTCAAGCCCCAGGCCATGCACGGAAGCGAAAAATGACCCTGTCCTCCTAAGAGTGTGGAGTTTTATTTTATCCAGGTGGTCGGCTCTCAGAGGCGAGCTCTGCATGTCTACGCACACACACGCGTGCCTGTGTGAGCGTTCACACACGCCCTGTTCACTGCACGTGGGTGACCTACGGCATGACTGTCTATAGCTTTGAGACACACGGACCTGCTCATGAAGGACCTTTGTTTCCTAGTTTTCTCATCTTTAAATAAAAAAAAATTCGAAAATAGGGGACCTTCAGCCTATCAGGCTCACGCCTGTCATCCCAGCGACTCAGGAGGCTGAGCTCCGAGGATCCCGGTTCAAAGCCAGCCCGGGCAGGAAAGTCCGTGAGACTCTGATCTCCAATGAACCACCAGAAGATCGGAAGTGGCGCTGTGGCTCAAGGGGTAGAGCGCCAGCCTTGAGCTGAAGAGCTGAGGGACAGCGCCCAGGCCCTGAGTTCAAGCCCCACAACTCACACATCACACACACACAGAGCATTGCTTTGAATTCCTTTTTCTTCCTTCATTGTAGCATACTGAGTATATTTCTCCACCCACCCCCCCACACACACACACACACCTGAGAACTCTTTGCCTCTTTGCATGAGTTTGAACCCAGGGCCTTGTGAGAATTTCTGACTTCCCTCCGGCCTCCTGTCTTTCCAGCCATCCCAAGAAAGAGACATTTAAAATAAGTAGGAAACAATGAATAAATAGCCTGCGTTCGCCTCCTATCGACTCTTATTTCTTGCCACCTTGGCCTTCTGGATTCTGGAATATTCTGGAAGGTTTTGAAGAAAGGCTTTTCTCAGATTGATTCCTGGGGATACAGAAGCAGGGTTGCCTCCCTTCCCCTCCCCACCCCCATAACTGGGCTGTTCACTGCAGGTGGGGAATGTTCTCGTTTCTAGCACAAGATGGCGTTGGCATGCAGGCTATAACTCCTCTGCCGAACACAAGCCACCAATGAGCCACACAACCACATGATGAGCTTGAGCTCAGGGCCTGGGCGCTGTCCCTGAGCTTGTGTGCTCAAGGCTCACGCTCTACCACCTGGGCCACAGCTCCACTTCCGGCTTTCCCTAGAGATGAGAGTCTCACGGGCTTTCCTGTCCCAGGAGGTTGGCCTTGAACCGCAATCCTCAGGTCTCAACCTCCTCAGTAGCTGGAATGACAGGCCACCAGGATGCCTGGCAAGACTTGGTTTCTTAAAGCAATTTCCAAGCTGGGCACCTGTGGCTCCCGCCTGTCATCCCAGCTACTCAGGAGGCTGTGAGGATCGTGGTTCAAAGCCAGCCAGGGCAGGAAAGTCTGCAAGACCCTTTGTCGCCAGTAAACTACTCAGAAAAAGCCAGGAGTGGCGGCGTGGCTCAAGTGGTAGAGTGCTAGCCTTGAGCAAAAGAAGCTCAGGGACAGCACCCAGGCCCAGAGTTCAAGCCTTGCTCAGACAATAATATACGTACAATGTTAAAAATCGTGTGGGAAAATAACATATGTGTGGTAGCATGATCCCCACCTCTGGTCCTCAGACCTGAGCTCCTTCCTGCCCTAGAGACAGCTGGCCACAACCTCTCTCCACCCAGACCTACCTGCGCATGCACCTCCGCACCTCCGCCACTTCCTGCCCCAGATCTACCGGCCACCTGGATTGGACAGACATCATGCAGTGCTCCATCTCCCAGAGGAGATAGGACCCCTCTAATAAACCTGAACTAATCTTTCTCCTGGTCGTGATGGGTCCTAACGATATGTATCTAACACGATTCATAGTATGTGCTCATAGTATGTGTGAAAAGCTAATGTATATTTGTTAGCTTTTAATGATTCGAGCAAATACAGTTCCAACTATTGCCAAAGACCTTGTAAGTTACAAAGGGAGTCATTTTTCTTTTGTCTAAAAGAAGCCCCCCCCCTCAACGCCCTTTCGAATGTAAAAAGAGGACAAATGTAAGACTACGAGGAAGAGTAGGAATGTACGCTTTTGAAAATGTCTCTGTTATTAATATAATATGGGCTCATTTTTCCTAGTCACCTTTCTGTCCATGTAATGTGAAAATCTGATGCAGCTGGGTGCTGGTGGCTCCCGCCTGTCATCCCAGCGACTCAGGAGGCTGAGATCAGAGGATTGCAGTTCAAAGCCAGCCTGGGCAGGAAAGTCCGTGAGACTCTGATCTCCAATAAACCACCAGAAAACCTCGGCAGTGCTGTGGCTCGAGTGGTAGAGTGCTCGCCTTGAGCTGAAGAGCTGAGGGACAGCACCCAGGCCCTGGGTTCAAGCCCCACGACTGACCAAAAACATAAAAATACTACCTGGGATCAAGAAGCAAGCTCTCCCTTCTGGGTATTCTACCTAGCAATCAGCACCCTGGGCTCAATTGTCCCTTAAGTCCTTTTACCTGTGTGTTAGCAGTGGGCATTGGGAAGGCTTGTCGAAGACAGAAAGACAGGCCGGTTTGCACCCCTCTTCTTATCTATTAATCTCAGCCCTCTAAAAGGAATCCAGGAGATTATTGTTCCTCCTCCTCCCCCTCCTCCTTCTCCCCCTCCTCCTCCTCCTCCTCCCCCTCCTCCCCCTCCCCCTCCTCCTCCTCACCCTCCTCTTCCTCCTCCTCTTCTTCTTCTTCTTCTTCCTCCTCCTCCTCCTCCTCCCCCTCCTCCTCCTCTTCCTCTTCTTCTTCCCCCTCCTCTTCCTCCTCCTCCTCCCCCTCCTCCCCCTCCTCCTCCTCCTTCTTCTCTTCCTTCTTCTTCGCGAGATTTGGGGTTGGCTCCCAGCAATTTCTGCTTTTGAAAAGCGTCTCCTCAATCACTGGCTTCGTGGATGGGTTAAAGAGGTGAAATTGTGGGGTTGTGTCTCCCCTTGATTCTCTTATTATGATAGTGTTTGTGGAATCAATAGCTTTTTAAAATTCTGCTCTAGGATGCTGCCAGGGGTAATTGCTCAGCTGACTGGCTCCTGGTTGGTTTTGGGGTGTGTGTGTGTGTGTGTGTGTGTGTGTGTGTAATCTGCCCCCTTTTCCTCTATTGAAACCGGGGACAGCTCTGCGGCTCTCTTGTCTGAATACAGCTCTTGTATTCTTTCTTGTTTTGTGATCTTTTTTTCTCAAAGATTGGACAATACGTTTTGGGGGTGGTGGAGGTGGTGGTTACTTTGAACCCCTTGGGATGTGGATAGTCTAAGTCTGGAGATTTGAATGGCTGGGGCGGGGCGGGGGCTGAGATCGCCACACATGGATTTCTAGCTCATTTCGCCATCTTTGAGCCGAGGGAGGG